AAGGTACACCAGTGAGTATAAAATTTGACAGAGAGATCAGGGCACCCCTGGGAAGGTGATTCTTCTATAGGAAGCTCTAGGGGGAAAGTGTTCTAAGACAGGGACGAGCAAGTGCAAAGGCACAGAGCAGGGAAAGGGCTGGGCTCTGAGCACCTCTGCTGTGAGTGGGGACAGAGGGCTGGGCTCTGAGCACCTCTGCTGTGAGTGGGGACAGAGGGCTGGGCTCTGAGCACCTCTGCTGTGAGTGGGGACAGAGGGTGGGACGTGAGGTGGGAGAGGTCAGCAGAGTTCTCCAAGATGCCATCCATTGTAAGAGGATGGAATGCAGCTAGTAAAACTATGACACATCCTGATCTCAGTGATAGCCAAATGAGGACACGTGCATCTTGGCATCACCGAATATGGTCAGAGCCTTTGGGTAGGGGGGAGGAAGGACCTTGTGGATTGGAAGACCACCCTCAGGAAGAGAGTTTAGCCTGAATCCACTTAGCAGCAGTGTAGACCCGGTGCTTTTATGGAAGCCCTGCAGTGCAGTTCTGAGGCTGAGTCACAGCAACGTCACGGCCCTGAAATCAGAGCTGAGGCAGCACCTGGCCTGTGAGAAGGATGCTTGGTGATGAGTCTATAGCGGAAGTCGGCATGGTGCCAGTCATCATGCTGTTCTCACTGCTACTAATGGTAGCGGTGAGGACATCTCAGAAACCCAAGTTGGCCCAGAGATTTTGGGTTTTTCTCATCTTTCTTAACTGGGGGGATAGAGTTATGTAACTCTATGGTAACTCTCATAACTCTCAAAAATGGTGGTCATAACCAGAGTTAACACACATTCATTCTTGGTGCTAGGGTGCACTAGAGAGTAATTTACCAGCAATAACTCATTTTACTCTTCTTTCCAATTCCTTGACTCAAACTGAGTCTTATAGGAGTTGAGTACCTTGCCCAAGATCACACAGGCAGTAAGAGGAAGCAATGGGATTTGAACTTGGGAAGTTGTTCTCTCTGTGTTATTTCCAGACTGTCAGCCTGGAAATAACATCCTTTTAGTCCTGCTGCTTCCCTGGACTCACTGAGTGACCACAGAGAAGTGGCCTCAAATCCCTGGCCTTGGTTTGCCCCTCTGTAAAATGGGGCAGTGAGCCAGTGGGGGTATGAATCCTGCTGGGCCCTGACCACCACCCAGCACCCTCAAGTCCTTCCCTGGCTTCTGTTTCTGGCAGCTTGTACAATAACTGCATCTGTGATGTGGGGGCGGAAAGCCTGGCTCGGGTGCTTCCAGACATGGTGTCCCTCCGGATGATGGAGTGAGTGAGGGGTCCCAGCACTGGGAGGCTGGGCCCAGGGCATGCGGAGACTGTGGGTCTCCCCCTGGCATCATGGGAGGGGCTGAGTTGCTGGTGGTCTTGGGCAGGAACTGGGTGGCCCCAAGGCCCAGGCCCCACGACGGGTTTTCTCCTCAGTGTCCAGTACAACAAGTTCACGGCTGCCGGGGCCCAGCAGCTTGCCGCCAGCCTTCGGAAGTGCCCTCACGTGAAGACGCTGGCGTAAGTCAGGGCAGCGCTAGTGGGTGGAAAGACAGGGTCTGCAGGCATGTGGCTCAGCATGTGACCCAGGAGCTCAAATCCTGCTCTTCTCCTCACCAAAGTACAACCTTGGGCAAGCATGTACTTTAACTTATGGACTCAGTTTCTTTTCTTTTCTTTTTTTTTCCGTTTTTGGCCGGGGCTGGGTTTGAACCCACCATCTCTGGCATATGGGGCTGGTGCCCTACACCTTTTAGCCACAGGCGCTGCCCTGGACTCAGTTTCTTTATCTATAAAATGAGGATATAATAATGTATAGCCCAAGAGGTTTCATGAGGTTTAAATTAGTCAAGAGCATATAAAACTCTTAGAACAGAAAAATGCTCAATAAATGCTATGTTAGGGTGAACCACACGAAATTGCCTACATCTAGCCATTTTTGACCTATAAAATTGGCAGTTTCATACGGCTCAAACTCATTTTTTGTTAAGTCACTATGATGTGTACTGTTGGAAGCACTTTCATCTCAGAGGATACTAATCACCCATATCTTCTGAGATGGATGGGGTGGGTCTTATAAGATCTGTTTTACAGATGAGGCAAATAGAGCACAGAGCAGGTTAACCAAGTTCTTTGAAGTCACACAGCAAGTCAGCAGCAGAACCAGAAAAGGGTCTCTGGGTTCCTAGGTCTCTGCCTTTCCTGAGACCCCACACCAATCTGTGTCCTATCAGGTGGGAAGTCCCCAAGGATATAGGTTGGGTGGGAGGAGGGATTTGGAGGCAGCTATTGTTGGGGCTCCAGGCCACATCTCTCCTTTGACTTTGGCTTTGTGTCCCATGCCCTCTTTGTAGCATGTGGACACCCACCATCCCATTTGGTGTCCAGGAACACCTGAAACAACTGGACTCCCGGATCAGTCTGAGATGATCCCAGCTGTGCCCTGGACAAGGTAACTAGGGTGGGCTATGGAGGGGAGAACCACAAGAGCCCTGGGGACCATGTCCCTGGGAAGACAGTATCCACAGAGAATGGGCAACACTGGGCTGACTACCTTAGAGCACAGGCATTATCTGAGACCTTCCCCTGTCTCTGCACAGGGCTTAGTGGAGGTGTCCTTCAGGCTTTGGGGACTTGGTCCCTGAGGGTCCTACTTGTGGTCAGGCTTAGAGACTAGGGGAAGGATCAGGTAGGTCACCCATCCATGTCTGTGGCATTGGGAAGATCTTCCTTTGGGGACTTCCAAGCCTTTCTTGCTGCTGTTTGCAGTGCCGTTTCCTGTTGACTGCCCTGGATTCATCTTCTTAGTAACTTGTTCTACAAGTTCCCTGCCTTTCACTCTGGAGATGACTGCCCCCTAGCCCTGTGCACCCCACACTGTGCTGTCTGTCACCTGTTGACCCCCCTTTCATTCTATTGCCCCTCTCCACCCCCACCGTCACAAGTATCTGGGTCCCCTCTGCTCCAAGCCTCCCGCCTTACCTCCCTTTCCTGACTCCTTCCCCCACAGCATGTTCTCTGAGGACGGTGACCGTGCTGGACCTTCAGCTGGGTACTTGTGGACATAGCTCTTTTCTGGGCCGTATACCAGGAGACTCAGCATCCTGGCACTCAGTGCCTGCCAGTTCAGGGCTGGCCGCCGCCTGCTGCAGGGCAGATCACATCTAGCTCTGTTAATAGACACAGGTCCTGATCTAGGCTCCTCAGGACCCAACGGACAGGAGCCCAGTGGCAGTTGCAGTCCACCTAGGAGCCCTGAGGCATTTCCTGCAGGACACTCCAGACAGCCACTGCCAGGCCAGAGTGAAGAACTGAGACAGCCACCTTTCTGCCTGCCCTGGCCCCGGTCAACCTGGTGAGAAAGCACTTCTCTACACTGCTGTCTGACCAGACACCCTGACATGGCACTCTGGAGACACTCATGGACAGCTGCTGGCCTGCTGATTCCCCAGACCACAGCAGGCTGGGTTCTGTGGCAGCTGCTTTGTCTGTGGGACTCATTGTTTGCACTAACTTTGTTGGCTGAGGCCAAAGCCAGGCCTAGCTGATGCACTGCGCCTTAACAGGGAAACAGCTAATGGTACACTAAGGGAAGGGGGGTGGCAAGGGGACAGAAGGGAACCACAGCTTCGTTTCCTGTGTTTTTTTTCACTACATTACAAATGTTTCATTTAACCTCAGAGGCAGCTCCAGGGTTTGAATCTATACCATGATTACCATTTAGGGGTACCTGCTGTCTGTCTAATGTGTAACAAGCCACTTCACAATGTAGTGGTTTAAAACAATACATTTATTCTGCTCACACACCTGTCATTCAAGCAGGGCTTGGTGGGGACAACTCATCTCTGTCCCACTCAGTGTCAGCTGGGGCAATGCAAGGGGTAGGATGGGATCATCTGAGACTTGTTCCCCTATAGATCTGACCTGATGGCGGCTGTTGGCTGGGGGCCTCAGTTCCCTCTGCATGCAGCCTAGCTTGGGCTTCCTCTTGGCATGGTGGCTGGGTTGAAAGGTGATCACCCAAAGGGAGAGAGAGACAGCAAGAGAGAGAAAGGCAAGGGGGGAAAGAGAGAGAGACCACAAGAGAGTAGTATCCTCTTGATGACCTAGGCTTAAAAGTCACACTGTACCACTTCAGCCTTATTCTATTGGCCAGTGTGGCCAGGCTGCCCCTCTCCTACCCACCCCATCACCACACGTGCACACACATATGCACATGCATGCACATGCACACACATGGCAGAGTCCACCCTGGCCCAAGACCTGTCTTTTCTGAAAGGATTTTCTCTGTGGCTTCCTAAGATTCAGTGGAAAATTCATAGTTTAGGGGTCAGAAGGTTGAAGCACAGTGGGCTGTATGAAGGGGACTGTTTTCCTCTGCCTCTGACACAGGGCTCTGTCCTGGGAGCCACTTCTTAGCCATATTGGAGTCCTGCCCTGGCTGCAGTGAGCCCAAGAGTGACTTGGCAGCTCTGCTTTCTACTTAGCCAGGCCAGCTCAGTGCTGGTCTTGGCCTGGGTGTGGCCTGCCCATCCAGAGGCCCCAGTGTGAGGCAGCTCTCTGTGGCCTGCTGGCAGGGGAGCTGCTTGCTCAGCTCTGGCATGCCAGCCCACGTGCCCACAGGATCAGCTTGGTTTCCACATTCTGCCCCTCTTCCCAGCACACAAGAGCTGAGAATTGGAAGGTGTGAAGGATTCAGACCTTAGTCCCCAGGGGCAGATGTCTTCTGCCTTGCCTGGCTCCAAAAGGTATCAGGTGTTGCCACCCAGGTTTGGGTTGTAAATCCAAACCCTTAGGGTGTCCCTGCATTCATAGACTCTGTGGAGTACATGGGACCCCAATTTGTGAGCACCTGGCCTCTTCCCTGGGCAGGGAACTGCAACACGCATAAGCCAGGGAGATACTACTGTACCCAATGCTTTTGATGTGTTTGGAGATGATGAAATAAGATCAGAAGCTACAGTTATTCACACTGATGGTCTTTAAATGACAGCTACGACTTATTTAATGAGTTGATACATGGAAAGCGCTTATCACAGTGCAAGGGAGCTACTGAGTGCTCAATAAATAGCAGTAAATATGACTGTCGTGTGCATCATGCTAGGCTCCTCCAGGAGAGGGATGAGAGTCCAGGAGTCAACAGCACAGACTCTTAGGCAGGTTGCCTAGGCTCAGTGCCCTGGTTACCCCTTTTTCATGTAAGTTACTTCTCTGTGCCTCAGTCTCCTCCTGGTGTAAAATGGGCACCACAGTACCTTCTTCCTAGGATTATGTGAAGATTCGATAAGCAAATGCATTGAGAACAAGTGGCTGACATGGAGGTCAGTATGCGTTAGCTGCATTATTACACATGTTCATGCATTTTATTCTTGCCTCTGCCTGGAAGTGTTCTCCTCAGCTCTTCACATGGCCGGCTTCTTTTCATTCTTCAGAACTTGGTTTAGAGGACATCTTAGGAAGGCCTACCTGACCACTCCACTCAATGCAGATACCCCTCTGCCTCTACTCTCCAATCTTCTATCTTTTTCACACTTATTGTGCAACATCTGCTGTTATTCTAGGTTTGTGAGCTCTAAAGGGTGGGAGACTTGTCTGCTTTGTCCACTGCTGTGCCCTCAGCACCCAGCAAGGTGTTTGTGCATAGTAGGTGCTCAATAATGCAGAATGAATCATCCTCACTAGAATTTTGCTTTATTCATTCTACAAATATGTACTGAGTACACCATGGGGAATAAGAAGCTCTTGCCCTGGTGAGTCTTACATTTTAGCAAATTAAAAAAAAAAAAAATCTCCTTGGCCTGTAATCCTAGCACTCAGGGAGGCCGAGGTGGATAGATTGTCCTGAGCTCAAGGGTTTGAGAGCAACCTGAGCAAAAGCAAGACCCCGTCTCTAAAAATAGCTGGGCATTGTGGCAGGTGCCTATAGTCCCAGCCACTTGGGAAGCTGAGGGAAAAAAATTGCTCAAGCCTAAGAGTTTGAGGTTGCTGTGAGCTATGACATCACAGCACTCTACCCAAGGTGACAAAGTGAGATTCTGTCTCAAAAAAGGGTTGCTGGGTATGGTTGAGCAGTCTGTGCACTGTACAAAGGAACCTGCATGAAGGGGTGACTGGGGGCTGCAAACTAGTCTGGATTCTGCTCACTAAGCTGTGAGTCCCGGTGTAGCGCCTCATCAGTTCAGAGAGAACATGAAGTCATCATAAGAATAAATTCCTCTCCCCATGTTACAGACTTCACTGACATTTATAGGTCACACCCCTAGAAAGGAAGGAATCAAGGTGTGGACTAGACCTCTGACTGCTTTGGAGGGCTCTCTGTGGGCAAGGGCATGGACATGGTCTGATGGGCAGTGAAGCGATGCTCAGAGGACTGAGGGTGTGGCAGCTGGGTCCCACGACCAGTGGATTTTGCTCCATGTGCCTTCTGAGCCTTCATCTCTCCCCTCAGGCCTCTTTCTCCTGACACAAATGTCCCCACTCCACGAGCACCTTTCCCCTTGGGCGTTTCAAGTGTCTTCTTCTCAAATTTCTTAACATCCTCTTTCTTAGAACCACATGGAGACAAGTGGCATTCCTACCGTCTTCCCGCTAGGATTCTGCAGCACCTGTCCTCTCCCACACCTCAGTCCCACCTGTGGAATGGAGTTAATCACGTGAACTTTGCTTAACCTGGTGTGTACGGGGAGGTGCTTAGCAGGTCAAGTGTTCTGCTTGACTGGAGAGGATTACCATTTCCCTATGAAACTGCGAGCTGACCCAGTTTCACTCATTTATTCCTTCCCTCCCTCCCTCATTCCCCTCATCTTTAACAAAGGTCTATCATGTACCTGGCACAGGGGATATA